ATAGGCTCATTGGCCTTAACGGTCACCCGAGTTCTACAGTATTAACTTTTGTTGTTGAAATATGAAGTGGAGATAATGATGTCAATCATCCCTAACAAAATATGAGTAAAATAATCAAGTATGATGTTCAGTTAAGTTTGTCAGGACCATGAGTTGATCATTCCTAGACCGAGTTTTAGTTAAATCGGCATATTAGAACTTGATTTTAAGTTTTAAATAGTTTTATTCCAAAATGGCAGCCGTGGCGGCCGTATTCGATTTTTGATCGACATGAAGAAAAAAAACCTTTGCCAGGACCATGAGTCGATCATTCATACCAAGTTTCAGTTAAATTGGCGCAGTAGAACTTGACTTTAAGGTTATAATAGTTATTTACCATATTGGATTTCTGATCGACCCGGAAAATAACAACACTTTGTCAGGACCATAAGTTGATCATTCCTACCAAGTTTCAGTTAAATCGGCCCAGCTGAACTTGACCATAAGTTTAGAATAGTTTTTCAAAATGGCGACAGTGGTGGCCATATTGGATATCTGATCGACCCGAAAAATAACAACACTTTATCAAGACCACGAGTTGATCATTCCTACAAAGTTTCAATTAAATCGGCCCGGTAGAACTTGACTTTAAGGTTATAATAGTTATTTACCATATTGGATTTCTGATCGACCCGGAAAATAAAAACACTTTGTCAGGACCATAAGTTGATAATTCCTACCAAGTTTCAGTCTAATCGGCCAAGTTGAACTTGACTTTAAGTTTGAAATAGTTTTCGAAATGGCCGCCTTTGCGACCATGTTGGATTCCTGGTCAAGCCGGAAAAAAACCCACTTGGTCAGGGAGTTGTCTGTAACATTCCCATGAAGTATCAATGAAATCCCTTTGACAGTTTTTCAACTTAAGTTGAAAATGTAAAATGTTAACGAACGAAGGACGACGGCGGACGAAGACGTATAGCAATAGTTCACTTGAGCTAAAGATCAGGTGACCTAAAAAGTAGCTTTAGATTAAAATAGTGATTTGTTAGGCTCTTGAGTAAGTATAACTTAATGTTCTGAGAAGGAGTACTTCAAGGAGCTCTTATTCGGCAAATCGGATCCTTGGGAGCTTAAACCATCATTTTCAATACTTTCTGCAGTCTGGCAACGTTGTTGAAAAATATGAAACAAATCTCTGCGTTGGCTAACCATATGGGATTTTTAGCATTGGAATGGACCCCACTTTTCTTCACGGAATTCCAGTCATTTGTTAGACTGTATTCTGTAGACGACCGCAAAGATGACAAGTGATTGCCTCTGTTCTGCCTTCTCCAGCAGAGTTCAGCACACCGGGTTTCGACATATCACTTAAGCATAAAACATGGACAGTGGTACAACATTATTTAAAGAAAAGTATTTGAACATTTTCCGTGTCCAGCCTATCTCTGTTATTTGAGGCACATAACTTCTTAGCCCTCGGGGGGCCGCTAGAGGATTTTCATGCCAGACTTGTAGAGAAAGGAAGACGTATTGGGAAAAATGACATTGAAATATTGTCGAACTTAAAAGCTTTATATCATCTTCACCAGATCAGCTTACATTCTTCGTCAGAGCTGGCAACCCTGTCTACAGTTCAACAGCTCTATCATCAGCGAAAATGGGACACACACACCATCAGTCCCCAGCTCAAGCCGGACACTGAGCATGCCCAGTCACACCCTCAGAGGGATGCACTTTCTGCTTAGGTGGACAAGTTGACAGATCTGATTGAAACGTTGCTTACTACAAAATACACCAGGGATAACCATCATGGAAAGGATAATACAGTATGTTACAAGTGTGGTGGCCTATGGACAAAATGCCCCTCACCCACAGACCTGCTGTCAGTTGTGTGGACAGTTTGGTCATATTGCCACATCATGCCTGAAAAACTTTCAACCGACTCGGCCACCTCCATATGTGTCGAGTATGCATATTGATCAGAACTCGGGAAACTTATTAACCCCGATGTCTGTCGGTCGCGTTCCCTCGGGAAGACCATGATAACTTGTTAGCGACATCGCAGTGCTGAACCTATTCGCGAAAGACACAGACTCTCATGCTACAGATTTCGCACAGCACAACTGTTCTGACACAGAGATGGACAACTCAAATTCTTCGATGGACAGTCTTACATGTGATAACTCTTCCACAAACGATGATTCTGCCAAAGGGCCATTCATGTATCTTCCTGTAAAGATTGGGACTCGAAATATTGCAGCATTATTAGACAGTGGCAGTAGTATTAATGTCATGTCAGAATATTTGTAACACTTGCCACCTAGTGAGAAGATTGTTACAAATTCTTGTAATGCTATTTCAATAGGTTTAGCTGATGCAGTAAAAAGTACAGATCAAATGTTCTGCAAGTGTGAAGGTCAAGACTACTTATAGCAAATGTACATTGAATGTTTATATTCTGCCTCAGACATCTCACCCTCTTAGTTCTGGCACAACTTTTATGCAAAAACTCAATATTGTTTTAGATTTTGGTCCTCTTACTGTTGGTTCTAAGAAATTGAAAGTTAGGTCTACTTGAAATTAAGCCTAATTCTGTGTGTATAGTGATGCGTAAACTTCCCTAAGGCTGTATGATAGGTTTACAAGGTGTTTGTTATACAAGCAAGAAGTCTCTGATAGCTGGTCTTCTGGTAGCGAGATCTGGTAACACCATATATCCATCAGTTCCTATTAAGATTTTGAACCCAAGTAATTCATGTATTTGTTGTACCTGAAAATAATGTGTCAGCTGATTTTGCTGCTATGGATAGCTCATACCATATTATACCAATGGTGCCTCTCATGTTGTAACAAGTAGTTTTCAAAATGCTGTCAATAGTACTGTTTACTTGGTTGGAGTCAGTTAATGCCAAGAATGTTGATTCAAATGTGAAAAATGTCAGCAGAAATATTGAACCCCAGATTATTTCTGAATCTATATTGTAAATAGAAATGTTGACCCCATCGTGAACACACTCTGTGTTGATCCCACTGATTCTATTGTAAATAGCAATTTTAATGTTGACCCTGGTGATGCCATGGTCACATTCACGGATCGGACGCAGGATTAGCCACGGATACGATCCGGCATCATTCGTGGCAATCTGTGGAGGTCCCTAGCTGTCCGTATTGTATCCTGGATCAATCGTAGTAATACCTGTATATCCGTGACAATTTTTGAACATGTTCAAAATTCACCAAGGATCAGACCACCGTACGATGTACATCCTTACTGATCCGTAGTTGAACGTACTAATTCGTTGTAGTCCGTAATAAACGGTAATTATCCGTACTTATTCGTAGTACATCTCCACCCGTAGCGGACTACCTATATAAACTATTCCGGGGTCATCCGTGAGTTTCCATCCGTAGTAGATCCGGCGAGACGAACCGTGAATGTGTAACCGGGACATGAGGCAGAGATATTTGCCAGGTTTATCTCATACTTTGAAATGAACAATGACAATTTTATCTAAAGACCAAGTTAATACTCTCAAACAATGTGTGTATAGGAATCATGATGTATTTGTGACAGATAAAAATCCTTTCTTAGGGTTTAACACTGTGTTGGAAAACTGCATCCACTTGAAAGCTGGCGCAGAATCAAAACTGCATAAACCGTACAGATTATCTCCAGACAAACGGGAAGTTATGCGTGCACAGTTGAACTTATCTTCTCAATAAAGGCATTATCGCACCAGTTGATGAAAAGGCCGATATATAGGCTTTCCCTTGGTGAAATTGTTTAAAACCCAAAACTGGCTTGAGAATATATGAAGACCATTTTAAAAGTGTACAATTGTCATTCTGTTTTGTAGATTTAGCAGGTAGTATAACAGCGTTTGGTTAAGTGTGTAGAAGTGAAATTCTATTTGTAGAACTACACTGTTTGCATGTGTGTAATAAAAGAAAGTGGTAATGTTTTAGCTAAATCATCGCACTTCAACTTAGAATTATACTCATAGTAGTTGAATTCGCATTTGTATTCATACCATGACCTTTTGCGATTCTAGATTGCAATTTGATCAAATACGAGTGCTTATTAATACAACGAAGTGTTGGTAAATGTGTTTCATTCTCTTCTTGTGGAAAACGCATTTTTTTATGTTTCACGCATCGCTTGCTAACAGAATCGCTCTATATAGTGCTCGAACGTGTTCTTACACATTTTATAGTTTGCTTCTACTTTTCTTATTGAATTGAATCATGTTTTACCACAAAATTGTTTGTTATAAAAGTATTATTTATACCCTTCAACATATCAAATATTGCAAAACTTGAAAAATATAAGTCCGACAAAAGTATGGTTAAATTCTTAAGACACGATAATATTCGTGTCTACTGGTAAATTCTCGTAACCATAAACAAGCATTTTATTTCCAATGAAGGGACCATGCACTAAAGATCCATTCAAAGCCAGTGTCAGTTAAACTGAATGTTCGTAGCAGTTTTATTCCGTCTTTGCATATTGCAGAGTTATCTTCTCTTTTGAGCAGGTATTGATTTTTACGTCATTGGTTTGTGTGAGAAAATTACGTCGTTTTCTCAAAAATTGATGACGTTACTCTCACAATCAAATGACGTAACAATCAATACCTGCTCACAAGTGCAGATAACTCTGCAATACGCAAAGACGGAATATCACGGTTTTTGAAGCATGTTGATGGTTCTTAGCTTGTTTCCAAGACAGTTTATCTGCACGTCAGTGAATCATTTCAGTATCATCAAAGCTGGTTGGCATCTCATTCAGTTGTTATTCATGTTTTGGCATATACACTACAAATCCTGTTTGAGATCAAAGACTTCTCTTAACCATCTAAGTAACCAATAAACCACATGTTAAATTTGTGATTATTCGAAAAGGGTGATTTCATTATGGTTAAATATGTTGAAGACTACCACATTTCATCATCTAATAGCTCCTTATTATGTTGATAAACTGTGCATTAGGCCACTGATCCGCACCGGGTTTTGTTACTGCTAAATCTATATTAAATGCTACATAGACGTGTCCATGCTAGTCAATTGTCGACAGTTCCTTCTGTGATACACATCATGGAGCGTACAGTCAAACTTCTTCTTGTTGTTTTTGTACTTTGCCTGCTCGAAGCGGAATGTTCACCACAAATTACAGCAGGGCAATCTACGACCACGCTAGAACAGCGAGTTACTGCACTGGAGAGAGAAATCGGTGGACTTCAGACACAAAATCAGCTGCTGGTGGATTGTGTTACGAATATGTCGTCTGACCAGTCCGACACTGTCAAATGTGCAAGGAAAATCGTCACGGCAGGCATCTCATGTAAGTGATTAATTGTAATATCATATAAACATATACACCTGATATAATCTTTTGGTTTTGCATTTGTTTTGCCCGGGCCGATGTTTCTTTAACGCGGCAATTATATATAAATGAATTATATGAATCTTCTATTGTTTCACTATAAATGTACCTTTGTTGTGCATGATTGACAGTGCACTAGTTAAGTTCTGTGGCAGGATATTGCAGTAGTCATAACACAATTATTTAGTCACCCCTGGGGGAACCCCAGTGGGGTCTATTAATTTCGGTTTCAGTCCCAGATTTTGACCTCTGTTGTCTTGGGCTGTTAAGTGCCTTGCTTCTTTCGGAATATACCCGGCGCTAATTACAAGCTCTTGGATAACTCAGATATCGATTTTCTTTTTAAACAGGAATAGGATAAAACCTTAAGGAGTATGAATCAGGCACCTTTGAGGTTCCCGAAGGGGTAAACTGTCGTATTATAAATTGCTATTGACTGATTTAGATATTTTATGTCTGACCAACGACTACCGTTAATATTTGCGTATAGTGCGCATTTTTTAAAGGAAAAAATGAAGTGTCAAGAAAGGGGTGTACACGATACTCGAGAACAATCCAAAACCAGTCCTTGGTCGCGACCATTTCTCGTAAATTTTTCAGGGATTTTCGGAAATGTTTTGAAATACGCTCGCAGCAATAAAACTACTAAATTCGTTGAATAATCCCTGATTGCATTGCCAATTTAACAATTACGAAAAGTTGCAAGTTTAAGTCATATTATACTATAGAATAGGATAAATAAACTCGAGTAAAGTAGGCCCAACTTTTCAGGACGTTACGTTGTGAATTGATAAATACCACGTATCGGGAAACATAACGAAGAATTGCATCGCATTTATCACTCTGTGGTTAAATTGTCGTTCTTGGGTAAAATCATGCTGAACTCTTTAACCTTGACAGTAGGATTGTGTCAAAACGACATGGTCAAGTGGCGAGTTTGTGTAGTCGAGGTCGGGTAATACTATTAACCGGCAGGAATTTACAAGGTTGGCATCCATGCGAAAAGAAACGATAATGATAAAAGGTTGAGTTTGAAAATAAAATATCAACGGGTTTAAAACAGCCAAATACATTCCGATCTTTTCTTTTCGAAGGAGAATTGCTGAAATCACTATTGTTTGGTGTTCTTCATGTCTCGCTAATTCGTCTGTTTGCGGTCCTCGACGGTTTGACTGCCTTTAAGCGTACACATTCTGCCGATATCGATGACCGATTCAGTCGGATTTGCAGACGATCAGAATTGAATCTTTTCTGAAACTTATTGTTGTGAAAACAACATCGTTATATTCCAATTACCTGGGCCCGTATTCATGAAACCGTTCCCATGCTCAAGTATGGGAGTTGTGCTCAACTGTTCTTTTTTTCAATGATTTGGGCTGAAACATTGAAGAGACTGTTTTCAATGTTTATATTTGACTTTTGATCGTTTGACAAGATTTAAGCGAGTTACAAGAAAGTAGGTTTGAGCACAGAATCCATGCTTGAGCATGAGAACGGTTTCATGAATACGGGCCAAGTTCTGCCCATGCAAGGTGATCGTGTCAGCCCGCGCATATCTCCCCGTATTCGAGGTGTCGGTCAACGCTAACGTTATATTTGCGACATGCTTTCTTATTAATTCCATGAGTTGGCATGTATGTATTTACACCTGGTCATTGTTTACCATTCTGATTGACAGGTGGAAATATATCCGTTGACTTGTAGCTTGGTAAATGATTTATCGGAAAATTATCATACAGAATATGATGGGGTGACTTTCATGTCATTCTGACTTATTTCTAGTTTTTTTTATGATAATGCCACGCTGCAACAGCGGGCCGATGTTTCATTAATGCGGCAATTATGTATAAATGAATTATATGAATCTTCTATTGTTTCACTATAAATGTACCTTTGTTGTGCATGATTGACAGTGCATTAGTTCTGTGGCAGGATATTGCAGCAGTTAGAACACAATGGTTTTCTTCTTCTTATGATAATATCATGCTGCAACAGTTGTTATCGGGGTTTTTCGACAGAAATGACACATTCTCTAAATATATGTTTTAACTTAATCAAATATGTGATACAGTTTTTGCGACATTTATGTAATAAATAGGTTTCATCTCGCTTTTTGTTTCAACAGTAGTGTTTGGTCCCTTGCATCATTGATGAGTCATAGAAGGACAAACTAGCTGTTTTGTCCAGTGTAATTATTTTTTTGGCAAACTGTATTTACAGTGTAAATTTATTACCAAATTTCATAGGTGCAATTTGGTGTGCGTCTTTCGTCCGTCTTTGTAAATAATAATGATGTATTTATTTATTTTAAATATTATTTACAAATATTGAAAGTGAAACGAACACGTGATTGCACCTATGCAATTTGGTAATATACAATGAGTAACACTGAACGATACAGCTGTTTCGTCCTCCTAGGACTCAACCGTAATGCGAAGGACCGAACAGTTTTAAATTCAAATTGTTCTAAGTAATCATTTATGTTCAAATCTAAACAAATATTGGGTCCAGCATAACATTATTTTTAACTTAATCCTGAAGAGTGTTTGTGAAGTCTCTTGTCACTACTATTTCTCTTACAGATGGACGGAATGTGATGTTTTCCGCCCAACTGACCCACACACTGTCCAGGGTTGCTGTAAAACAAGGAATAGTGTTTGACAGTCCTGTAACTAATGTTGGGGACTGTTACAGCGGTCATACAGGAGTATTTACCTGCTGTAAAGCCGGCACCTATGTTTTCTACTGGAGCATTTATACAACCGGAACACACTACGTACAAACTGAGCTGATGAAGAACACTTCCTCCATAGCAATCAACCGCTCGGGTGATGCCAACAATTATTCCACTGGAACTATGATGGTTCTGCTTCATCTAAATTTTGGCGATGAGGTTTGGATCAGAGTAAAATCCCGAAATCCTGCTACTTCAAATATTTATGCAGACAAATCGTCGTCTTTCACAGGCTTTTTGTTACAATGACCAGGCATCAAAGGAAAACGATTTGAAGGTTCCCGCCAGATAGCATATGGGCCGGATTTATCGTAATTGTTCGGTGTTCTGTTACAGTAAGAAGCTCTCATGTCTGAATCTGATTAATGCTGACTTGTTCGGATCACTTTTGAATGGCGTATTGAACAAATCGACATGTATATTATACGTTTATGAAGGCGATTTTACGCGGTTTTTAATTAGTGGGTACTTTAAATCTACGAATTTAGAGATCATGAAGTAATTATAAGTTTGACATAAAGGTATTCTCCGTATGAAGGAAAATCATGAAATTTGGGCCAAACGAAAATATATGATTTTCCAATTTATAACATTTTCCTTTGCAGATTGATTCAAGCTTGAAATATGGAATGTATGGAAAGATAACTTAAGTTAGAGGTATCAAACAAATTGTTTTAATTTAACGTCAGCACTTTACCACAATGTAGGTTATTCTTATAACCATCGTACTCTCCTAATCTTGTTTAATTTATTCATCACAAATTCTTTGAGCCTTTATGCAGACCTCAGTTACACCCCTTGGAACACCGGGGAAATTAAAAACATTTTATATCGCCCTATGGTTAATACAATGTTACTCAACCATTGCAACGAACCTACGCCACCTCATATCACAAATATAGGTTTTAAAATAAAAACAATGTATACGAATGTACATCTTGACTTCGTTTGTATCATGAGTTTTTATACAACCTCTACGTTGCAGTGTTTTAAAACGTTTGCCTAGGGGTTTTACCGCTTATAAGCCCGAAGACCCCTCCAGATAGACCATGCTATTGTAAAATCGAGAATTTTTTTTAGTGAACCATACAATACCTTGTCTATCCGGAACAAATCGTACAAATCCGGGACATACCGTTTGAAATCCGTAATTTAAACCTCGTGATCTATGTCTTTAAAGGATTTGATTTAGCTGATAACTTAATTATGAGACCCATTCGAATAACTCACACTTTTCAAACCGGGTAAAACCGTTAGTGAACCATACTAAACCTCATCAATCCAGATAAAATCTTACAAATCCGGGACAAACCGTTAGAAATCCGAAACTTAACTTCGTGATCTCTGTCTTTAAAGGACTCAATCTAAACATATCTCTGGCAGATCTTTAGCTCAAACCTACAGTTGCCTCCAATTTCCAATATTGTTCTGACGTTGGCGTTATTACGGTGGTTTATAAGGGTCTAGACAATTATAATGTCGATGAAAGGTATATAGATATATAATATACATATTTGTCAACTTAAAGGTCAATTCGTTTACTTGTTTTTTGACGGCTTGTTGATATTAAAATACATGTCAACAGAAATAAATCCTCTTCTTTACGAAGTTTTCTACAATTTATGCTCAATTTTATTTTAACATAGTACAATTAAATCGTGTATATATAACATATTCAATAACAACTTTATACCCTTGTACACCTCCATATTTTATGGATATACCTAAGGAAGTTCCTTTTTCCGGATTGATGACTACAAATGTACGATTTAAAATTGTATTGTGTATTTGTTTGGGCTTTAATGTCCTTGCAACAGCCACGGTCAGACAAAGACAGGGGCCTAGAGTGTTGGGTTCGGTTTGGTTTTATTTTGTTTCGCGTCCTTCTAACAACTAAAATCATTGAAGGATGTGCCTCCAGGTGTGTTGTGTATGTGTGCAGGAGACAGTGTATGTTGGGGTACTTGCCTCGTTGTGATAGCGCTGATCTGATGCCGACTTTTAAGTGCTATCCCACTGAAATACCATACCAAAGGTACCAAGCACAGCCAGGCCACATTATACTGACAACGGTTGAACAAGTTGTTGCCATTACCCCTAATGTTAAAGGGAAAACAAACGTGAGGTATTTCCAACCAAGGCACTAGGAAATAAAAGGTAGTTAGAAGTAGAGAGAAATATTAAGATCCCAAATATTGCAATTGGTGCAGCAGATTTATATTTATCGCTTTTGTGTCCTCAAGTATAGGGCACAAAAAACAAATCCTCCCAATATGCAGGGGGTTTGCTCATAAGTCGCCTCTCACGATACCTACAGTTGTTCACAGCAGGTGTATTCGTTTCTCGATCCCAAACCTGCAGGGGTGGGCCTGGACAGACATCACCTGAGAGGAAAGAAACCAGGCAGGGGGAAAAGGAAAAGACAAAGATCCCAAGTGTACCAGCGGATCAAGTTTAGTGTCATCCATTTCCCCTACGTAGAAGACTCTGAAAACCCTCGAATCTGCAGGGGACCACACATTAACTACCTTTTACGTAACACGTACAGCGGGATACAGCAGGTTCATTCTTGGTTTCTGCAATTACCCTCAATAAAAATTAGGAATTAGAAAAACTATTTGTCAGTATAATGTGACCGGGCGGAATGCTGTGCTTGGTGCCATCGACATGGTTTTTCAGTGATAAAGCACCTCTAAAGTCGGCATCAGATTAAGAAATCACAGGGAGGCAATTTCACGCATATACCCTGCATCCAGCACACTTACGTACAAGCATGCATACACAACACACATAAAGACACGTCCATAAATGACCTTAGCTGTTTTAAAATAGGACATAAAATAAAGCAAGAGGCACAGAGGGCCTGTATCACACACCTGGAAATGTTAGCAAAATTGAAGTTGAATAAGCTAGATGTTGAATGTTAATGAAAGTGTACATGTATTACATGGTAGTCAAGGATTATATTTATATGCAATTTCACAAAACCCTCTCATTCCTTCAGGAAAATGAGGATTTGAAGAAATTGCTATGTTTCCTCAATTGGGCCCCGCCCCTTTGCCCCCAGGAGGGCTATGCCCACCGTTGATACAAAATTAGGTCCCCTTTCACCCAAGGATGCTTTAGACCAAATATGGACATACTACTGTGTCATTCCTACAGAAGAAAAATGATTTTTAAGTTATTATTTTTATTTTCCTTATTTGGCCCAACCCCTCGCCCCTCAGGGGGTTCAAACCCACCATTTATACAAAATTGATTTCCCTTCGCCATAGGATGCTTCTGTTTAAATTGGGTCAGAATACCTTCATCCCAACGGGAGAAGAAGGATATTAAATCTATTTCTCTATATTTCTTTTTGGGCCCCGCCTCTCTGTCTCGAGGGGGGTCACACCTTACGTTTATACAAAATTAAGTCATCTTCACCAAAGGATGCTTTAGACGGACAAAGTCCTGTCATTCCTACAGCAGAAGAATGTTAAACAAATTGTTTAATTACCTCTATTGGGCCCCAACCCTAAGGCCCAGGGTTGGTCAGATCCACCATTTATACAAACTTGAATTCCCTTCACAAAAATTTGCTACTGTATAAATTTGATCATAATACCTTCATCCTAATGGAAGAAAAGGGATATTATAGCTAAACTCTATATCCCTTATTGGGCCTGCCCCTCTGCCCCAAGGGGGCCAAACTCAATGTTTATATAAAATTGAGTCCCTTTTGCCCAAGGATGTTTCAGACCAAATTGGGATGAAATCCTTCAATATCTATGGTAGAAGAAGGATTTTAAAGGTTTACCTCTATTTCTCCTATTCGGCCCCGACCCTCTGACCCTATGGGGGCCACACCCACCATTTATACAAAATTGAGTCCCCTTGGCCTAAGGATGCTCCTGACTAAATTAGGATTAAATCCCTTAATCTCTGCAGTAGGAGAAGGATTTTAAAGATTTTACCTCTATTTCACCTATTCCGCCCTGCCCCTCTGCCCCCGGGGGTGGGGGGTGTAGGTGGGGCACACCCACCGTTTATACAAATCATCGCACTTCAACTTAGAATTATATTCATAGTAGTTGAATTCACATTTGTATACTTACCATGACCTTTTGCTATTCTAGATTGCAATTTGAACAAATACAGGGGCTAATAAATACAACGAAGTGTTGGTAATACAAACAAGGTAAATTTATAAATGTTTGTAAAACATGTGTACATACTCTTCTTGTGGAAAAATGATTTTAGTCACCCCTGGGGGAACCCCAGCGGGGAGTATTAATTTTGGTTTCAGTCCCAGATTTTGACCTCCACTGTTTCAGCTTTCGTGTGTTTGCTTTTGTCGCTAATTACAAGCTTTTGGATAACTCCGATATCGATTTTTGGAATAGATCTAACATACAACCAAAAGGCGTTCCGAATTTCAAACTAAAGATGTTCCGAATATGAATCAGTCACCTTTGAGGTTCCCGACGGGGTAGACTGTTATATCATGTATTGCTATTGATTGATTGATATGTTTATGTCTGACCAATGACTATATTGGTAAAATTTCTTTTTAAACCAAATTAAATTTTGGAATAAAAATTTCAGGTAGAAAAGCTCAATAACGTCTCTTTTTCTTTATCATCTATTCACGCAATGACAAAAGAAAACGTCACCTAGCAAAAGGGCAAACTCGATTTGACATGCCGGGTTTGTGTTTGCCGCCGGCACACTACATTAAAGCATACGCGCAATTTGGCGGACACAAACAACATTTTGTATCGCTTTGCATTTCTCTGCAGTCCGGCGAAACTTCTAATCGAACGGCAGGGGCCGAACATGCGGGATTTAAGGGACGGACATTCGTAATCAGTAGGAAGGTGCGTAAACGGCACGCCTGAATCAAGTTCGTCCAAAGTAAAAAGTTTACGACATTTATGGAAATTGTTTTATTTTTTTAATTTACATACCATTTTCAGCCGTCACATTATAATTTCAAATGGTGATATGTTATAAATAAATGCGCCATCATTCAAACAAATATTTCATCAACATTCATATCCCGCCTGACAACGTTTACAACTTTAGGACACTTTACAACATAACACGTTACGGCAGAACTTGAAATGGAAAACCGGAAGAGTGCAGGGTCATGTAAGGTAAGTAGAACATTGCCATATTCAGAATTTATAATAAAAGCGCTCGACACCGTTTAATGTTATCGTTTCTGCGGTGTGGTGGCAGTGGTGACCTCGAGGTACCGGCAAAACATGGTATTGACATTGTATTCATTTTGAGCAAGATA